CACGCCTTTGGAAATCAAGGATGGCTCCCCTTCAAGGTCACAAATCGACCACCACAAAGCCGACCTTACCATCACTACATTGGAGTGATCTCATTTCCATCATCCGCCACTTCTCGCCAGGCCGCTTCGCCAAGTGCATCCGATAGCGAGGGGGACAATCGCCAAAAACAGGAAGAAGAAAAACCCGCAAGCACCACCGCACATTCTCCCCCTTTGGACTCTTGCACAAGAAGGATGATGACCAACCCAAAGTGTCCTTGGACTGGCTCGTTGAGACGCCGCCAGTCATGTTTCACGATGATGCCTCTCGCTCCGCTGGCGCTCTCTTCACGGGCATGATGCACTTGAATGTCGAGGAGACCGTCCAGGTTGACAGCTTCCAGGCGTCCCTGCAACTGCATATTCACCAGAAGAGGCCCTTTGCAAAGCATTGCATCGAGTGCTCTGATCAGTACACGGAACTGAAGCACTGGGATTTTCTTCCTAAAGCTGTAATGCTGACCCCCGGCCGACACGCGTACCCATTTTCCATCCATTTACGGGGTCACAACCCTGAAAGCATCGACACGCCAGTCGTTTCTATATCATACGAGTTCAAGGCTCAGATCCACTGCGCCGGCTTCCACCCCCTAAGCTTTGAGAGGGACATCCCAGTCAAGCGATCCCTCCTCGGCTCAGATCCACTGCACCAGTCCATGCGCGTGTTTCCGCCAACAAACGTTAAGGCTACTGTGTTCCTGAACCGCGTCATTCACCCAAGTGGCACCCATAAAGTGCAACTGCGTCTCGACGGTATCACTAGCCTCGAGGGCAAAAGCGTGGAGATATGGAAGCTCAAAAGACTTGCGTGGAAGCTTGAAGAGACGGTCTGCACTGCCGCTCCGGCCTGTCCTGGTCACGCCGCGGAAGGTGCTAGTACGGACCAGTTGACCGTCAGACGAAACGAGGCACGGATCTTGGGCGAGAAGGAAATGCACGGGGGTTGGAAGAGCGATTACAACACCAGCGATGCTCGCGTCGAGTTTGAGTTTGAGTATGGGCTTACAACGAGACACACCCGCAAAGGAGATGCAATGTACGCTTGTGATATCCGAGCGGCTACCAATGGCACTGGCACCGAAATCTCGCACTCGCTCTCTATCGAGATGTTGTTATCAAAGGAGCTTGCGTCGTCGGATATTCCCAATCTCGTGTCAGCGACGAGCGACGCTCGGGTCCTCAGGATGCGGCACGCCGTGATTCTCACCGAGGCACCTGGTCTCGGTGTGGCTTGGGATGCGGAGCTGCCGCCCGTCTACGACGATGTGCCGCCAAGCCCGCCCTCATATCCCAAGGACGCTCCTGTTGAGTACGAGAATCTGGAAGTCGTGGATGAGCAGGAGAGGCGCCCTAGTGTGGTCAATAGTGAAACGTCCCTTCCTTCAGCGTAGGATTCGAATAGCGATTCTCTTGCTTAATGATAACTATAATGAATGAAATCCAGCGAGATTCCAGGAAGCTTTTTGACAAGTTCCATCTGAGGAAGCAGAAACTTCGCCTTTTTACTCTGAGAAAAGTGTAACCCAGAATCATCTCAAGCGACGCATAACATTCGCTTTCAGTTGGATCTAATATCAAGCCTCCCCCACCTTTCCCACTGATCATTCAGAAGCTGCGGTAGGTTGATTTTCGCAGCTAAAAGGGCATCCACATTTGACTCCCTAAGGCTCAGGGGGGTTCAACCAGGTCTTCGGCCGTGTCATGGCCGGATCAACATCTCGAACCCCCATCTTCATCTCGGTTACCATTCACTCGGCTCCTGCAACGGCACTTATCTTCTAAAGCTACCAGAACTGAGTCCAGGGATGATGCAAGTCTTTCAAAATCCTGCTGGGATACCCGGGCAGACTATCTTGCTAACCATGCTTGCTGCCCTCGAGTTGTGCTGCGCGCGGCTCACCACCGCAGCTGAGGAGGTCTTACCTCTATGGTCTGATAACGGGTCCTTGCCATATTGCCGTGCGGGGGCTATGTGGCACCTCTTTCGGGAGGCCTATCCGATACGTAGGGCCATGAATATTGCCAGACGCTCGTGTTGAATGTCACTATTGGTCGCTAGGGGGAGGGAGGCAAGGAACTAGATCGATGAGACGGCCATGGCATGGTGAAGAAACCAGCCTAGGGTATGACGGTTCCTGCGTGTGCACCTTGTGACAGCAGCCCGTCCTGCCAAGAAGAGTTTCAAGGGCTTCCAGATTGGATGAAAAGCTCAAGATTGATCTGGAGAGGGTCGGATCTCGTTCCCAGCGCCGCGTCTCGGCTCGGCTTCCGTGTGCGATGGAACCTCGTCCCCCCCATGGAAACCGTGGTCGACCTTGAAGCAGAGCTCGTGCACGCGGCGCAGCTGAGGATTACGACGCTCGATCTTGTCCGGAGAGCCTTCCAAAGAGTGGTACCGACGGCAGGAGGCTTCAGTAGTTGACATGAAGAATTGATTACTCGGTAGGCTGAGTCAAATGACCTCCCCATGGGGAAGCTCGTCGGATGTTCCCAGTGCCACTCTTTTGCCGAACGACAGACAGGCATCAATATAGTGACACTCGAATCAAATGCATTGGATATGTGCTGTCATCCACGAGGCTTGCAGTGATAGATTTCACCTGCATGTATTGGCGCGACTTTGACGCCCATCGGAATCGCCAGAGTCATCGACTCTGGCCACTTTATCTCAGTCATCTGACCGCGAGTCCAGCTTCCCGATAGGGCACACGAATTAAACAAGTCCGCATAGCCATATGGGGTGCGGCCCGGTGCCAGAAGGCCCCAAGGCCCTCTCAGGGGCGAAACAGGATTTCCCATGCTGTCTGCGAGTCTTGGCAAGAGGAGTCGCGGCGGGCTACAAGCCCATTGCACGACACGACACTCGACGAGCGTGTCGCCGGCGAGTGTCCTTCAGAGAACCGAGTCAAAGCGTGCATCGTGTTCTACGGCTCGACCGCGAAGATTGCGACGCTACCTCTGCGTGTAATTTATCCGGTCTCTGGTTCGACCAACTCTCGACGACCAAACTAGACTCTCCTGGCTTGCCCCTCGTTGTCGGCACCAACGTACAATCCCAGCATCACCACCCCACGAGACGTATTTCCGTTGTGTGGTCCAATTAAAGTGCCCAGGAATCCAGCCTGAGAGTGGATTACCGAACCGCCGGTCAGCGAGCTCCCCGGCAAATAAACGCATCCCCAGATATTACCACCCGTCCCGGAGGCACATCCCCCGCGCCCCCCATGGAACAGCCCGGATCCTCAAACCCCCTTCGGAGCTTAATCAAATCAACATGGTGGCAAGTCATGTGGAGTTTGAAACAACGACAAGCGCCGCTTCCAGGGCGCGGCGCCAGTTGTCCGCGACTTCATTCGGCTTCAACACAGATGCTGTGCGGATAGTGTAACTTTAGTCTGGGCGAACGGCCTCGGAACGAACGCCGATGCGTTCGTGTTGCACAGGAGAAACGATCGAAGACATTCATGCTATAAAGACGATCGGCCACGGCCACAAATGTTGATCTCAGATTAAGCCTGAGCACCTCATCCTTCTCGCCGATCGCCTAG